GACACACCACACGCATTCATACGTTATCAAATAAACTAATCAATGTACAAATAGCGCTGCGCGTGTAATCCATAGTATTACAAATAGAAATAAAAGGGTGTAATCCATAGTAATTACAAATAGAAATAAAAGAAAAATATATGCAAATATAAACTGATATACATTAAGCTTAATTAATAAATTAAAAACCCAATTAATAGATTAATTTAAAAGTACTTCATAAATAGAATTCAAGTTTGAATCTTAAAATTGCCTAAAGGTTTTTTTTGTTTTCATGTTTGTTTATTGTTGATGATTTAGTTTTATTTTCTGAATTTTGTGAATTGTGAAGATGTATATTGTTACTTTGCCCTTAAGAGGTTAAATTTGAGCTCACCACTGACCTATCAGGTGAAAGGAAATGCGTGCAGTGGAACGACGTAAACAACGTCAGTGATGTCAAAGGAAGAAACGGAAGAGAAGCAAGCGCATGGAAGCAGAGATCGGAGAGCTAATCCAGCGAGAAACGAGTGAAATCCTGTCTTTTAAACTTGACCGAACGTCTAGAAAGATATTGATAGTGATTCATCGGACCTGATTGTTTGTTGATCTTGCGATATTAATTTGATATTGATGTCATCGCGTGCAATGAGATGGCGGGCCACCCAACGGATCTCGATTGAACACATTCACGGTGAAATTGCAGCGATTGCACCTGTTGTTTAATGTTTCATCTTCATGACAGAACTGTGCTGGATGACAGAGTAAGCTGGCATCACACTTTCTTCCTTTCCACCTGAACTGTGGTATGTTGTGGGCAGCAGGACGGTAGGACTCAATTTATGGATTGAAATCGAAACAATACTTTTCCTCGTGATTTTAGAGACTGGTATATAAAGTCTACAACAAAGACTGTTGGAATTAGCCTTCACTGAACTGTTTATCATTTTTTCTGAAAGTATATATTGTTTCATTATTATTTTTCATTTGCACTTTATTAGTGTGAAGACAAATTGTTATTTTATTTCATAATTGTGATTTATTCATTGTCATTTGGGGTATTTATCTTTTGTTTTGCAAGCTGAGTTGATAATTTGAGTATTTTGCTTAAACTAACATAAAATTAGCTGATACTACATGTAGTTTACTTCTAATAGAATAAAGTAATATAATTAGGACACGTCAATTAGCTATAAATAAAAATAGGTCAAACGTTGTACTTAAAATAAGCTCTATATATATATATATATATATATATATATATATATATATATATATATATATATATATATATATATATATATATATATAAAATTGAAATAAATAAACCAGTTTGTCAGAGAAAAAGAAAAGATTAAATAAGAGGTTTTCAAGGAAGGAAAAAAAGAGACAATTCATTCTTTTGTTCATTTGGTTTTCATTTTTTATTATCATTAAGAGGGTTTATTGATAACCTAGTTTCTTTTCTTTGAAAGAAGTTGTTCTTCTTTATTGTTATTTTTTCCTCTGGAAAGAGAAATTAAGACAATTATTATTTTTATTTCTTTCTTTATTATATAAAGTTCATTATAGTTGAAACTAATCTCTGTTGTCTGTTCTCTTTAGTCAGTCTCTCATTTCTGCTCCTACGAACCTACAGTACTGGTCCACGTTTTCCCTCAGATTCACGCAGTCTAAGCAGTTGTAGTGACGTGGGTGACCTGAGGGTGGTGCTACACGCGGCGCGGCAGAATACGAAGTGTCATGAACTGTGGCTGGGCACTACGGACAGCTGCATTGACTTCCATAGTATTTATTTCCTTCCTGTGGAAGTCAATGGTTACAAGTTTTCAGCTTTCTTTAAAATGTTGTCTTTAGCGTTTAACACGGGAGTCACCAACCTCTATGACACTGAGATCTACTTCTAGGGTACCGATTAACGTGGAGGGCTACCAGTTTGATAAACACTTCTCAAATAACAAGTTGCTCAATTTACTTTTTATTATAATTTAAGTTTTTGGTAATAATTAATAACATTCATCCATGTGAAGACACTGATCATGTTAACGATTCTCACAAAGTCACCAACAATGATTTAACAGGGTAGGAAATACCCTGTAATTAATATATCAATGTGCAACACTATTTTATTTATCTTTGCAAATATTTACATTTTTAAATGATTACTTCTATATTTTCTATATTAGAAAGCTTACCAGTAAGTGGTGCTATGGTGAGCTATTTTTAGAACAGGCCTGTGAGCAACACACGAGAGCCTCGTGGGCTACCTGGTGCCTGCGGGTACCATGTTTGGTGACTCCTGGTTTAACAAAAAAAAAAAAAAAAAAGAAATTCATAAGGTTTGTAACCATCAGGTGGTGCTTAAAGCATGCGACCTGCTTTATGCTTTCCTTCCTTAAGTGCTGGAATTGAAGCCATTCATCTATTAGCTATCCAAGTTCATCCTCAGTATATCCTTTAACACAGATGCTGCCCCCTCCGTAGGGGATATTATCAGGGCCTCTGACTCGCTTCTAACGGGCAATATCGTGGAGAAATAATAGTCGACGTCCAATATTCTCATGCACTGTTACAACGAAGTTGCTGTTCAGTGCACTAATAAAGGGCGTTATCATTATCCTGCTTAAGGCGGCTCTTCATTGTTACGTTTCTGAATTTAAAAAAATAAATAAATAAAATAAAAAATCCATTTTAACTGTTGTACATGTTCCTAGTTGCATAGGAAATCGCTGACTCTCTTTTTGCTCTATTTACAGAAACTGGTATCAGAAGCAGAGCCGCAGCTGAACCCATCTCTCCTTTTAAGATGATAATCCCATAACCACAGAATACACAATTTGCATCAACATTCATTTATCCATTTTAAGTTACCCCAGAACACCTCATCAGTTTCTCACTGCTCAACACATGCACACATTCCATTCCCCACACAACACCTCATTTCTGTTTTCCCTGCCTATAAATCAGTCTATACATCACATACTTGCAAACACATTCAAGACAACTCCATCAAGAGCTATTTAAGTGGAATTAAATTCTTCCACAAACTCATGTATGGCTCCATTTCTGATTCTATGGCTAATTTACAAACCAGCCTTATTAAAGGCATTCAGAATTACCCCCCCACCCCCCCCCCCCAATTACCAGATTGCCCACCACACACACAACATACTCTCTCAATGCATTGCACAATCAGAAAAGGCTACCTATCCTTTCATACAGACCACACTCTAGATGCAATGTATATTCTCGTCTTTTTTGGATTTCTCAGATGTTCTTTACAATAACACCAAATTTCGATCCCACTATCCACCCACCATCACAGATCTGACCTTGATTGACAAGGAAACAATTTCCTTCCTCATCAAGCAAAGTAAACAGATCAATCCAGAAAAGGACATTGCATCTTCATATTCAATATTCCCTCCTCCACAAGCCCATTCCAAATACTCCTAGCTTCATACACTATAGGAAACACTAAGCACAAGTCCCCTAGCCCTCTTTCATAGACGACACACACCACCCAGTAACATGTTTTGGTTCCAAAAAACACCCTAAAGTCATAGGACTATTCAGGCTTCCATCAGGTTCATAATCCAGTCACTCATTCAGAATTGGAGCCGCCACCACAGCAGCACACAAAGGGCTTTCGCAACATCACATACAAACACTAGGAAGGTGGTCTCCCGACGCCTTCAAATCTTATATCTGACTCTGTTTACTTTCTTCCTTCGAGCTGATTTGCACTCAGCTTTCTCCCCCTTTTCACTCACCTAACTCCAGCAGGAGTTCTTTCCCTGCCCAGGCCCCCCTGATCCTATATGTTTCATATAAACATATAATTATATATAGTGCTGCCAAGTCCCAGCTCTATCTCTGCAAGGAGTGTTCCTCGAGTAAATTACTCCTTCGGAGTCCCCGCCCCCCCTGCCCCTCTTCACCCCTCTCTCCAGCTGGAGTCCTTCCTTCCCCTTCCCTTATAATGACCCCAGCAGGATTCCCGCCCACCCCATGGCTCTGACCCCCGCAGGGGTCTCCCCGAGTCTCTACTCCCCCGCAGGAGTATTCACAGGCCACGCCAACTCTGCTCGGGTTCCCGCAGGAAACTGTTTCACCCTTTGCTCCAAAGAAGGCCCTTTACCTTTTCTTTTTCAAATAACTATATCCAGCAGCCGGATATAGCATTTCAAGCCTTTTCTTCGAATACACGGCTGCTGTCCCGAGCTTCATGCATTTGGGGAGCTCTCGAGAACCACCTGATCTCGTACTCCCCTCACATGCTCTATGGACCTGGCGGGAGCATTGGGCTCAACTATCTCCGAGCTCAGGGTTCTCTCCCGGGACAGCATGCCAAACCTGCTTACAGTTGTCAAGCAATATCTAAGTGTGAACTCTTGAAACGAACATTAATGAGCTAATTAATAAAACAAAAGAATAAACAAACTGAACAAAAGGCATTACTATACACACACACTCACAATACAGACCCTAATAATATCAATTATCCATATTCCTTTTTGAGCCACAATATTATAAATAAAGCTTCTTCTATTAATGTACCTTAAGGTAAATATTTTAATTGCCGTTGCTGTCTATTGAAGGTGTGTGCGTGCTGTCAACGACGAGCAGGGAGAACTGTGTCGGTTCTAGTTTAAATGACACCCTGAGCAAACCACCCCATACACCACAGTATGTAGTCACAGCGCTTTACATAAGGAGGGCTTTTATACAAGTAACTACTGCTTCAATTCAGTTTGAAATGCCTTACTATCTACAAACAATAAAAACTCACCCACACATTCCAAGTAGGAATGAGACTACAACACAACTAAACAATTAAAACAAATTAAAACTTTCTACATGCAGCTTTCCTCCTTATGCTTGAATGTTTCTTATTAATAAATAAATACAGTTATTCTGGTGTATGTTTACTTTTTGGAAGGTTTCTCTGCAAATTTTATAAATAATACCCATAATCATTACTACACACTTCTGTTTTGTCTTTTCTGCAGTACCAGAAAAACAGAAGATGCTCAGACAGATACCTGTCCAATCCAGTACTTGTGCTGAACCACATACAGCTGATGCCATGCTCTCCTCCATGAGGATTGTTCTTGTGGGTAAAACTGGTGTTGGTAAAAGTGCAGCTGGAAACACAATCCTGGGAAGAGAACAGTTTAAATCTGTGATGAAGATGAATACAATAACAACTAAATCCTTAAAAACTGATGCCACAGTTTCAGGCAGATCTGTGTCTGTAGTCGACACTCCTGGATTATTTGACACAAAGATGAATCCTGAAGAGTTAATGACGGAGATCGCCCGAAGTGTGTATATCTCCAGTCCTGGACCTCACGCTTTCCTCATAGTACTCAGAATAGATGAAAGATTCACTGAACATGAGCAGCAAATTCCAAAGACAATTGAGTGGTTGTTTGGTGAGGGAGTGTTGAAATACTCCATCATCCTCTTCACTCGTGGAGATCAGCTGAATGGAGAGTCTGTAGAGGAGTTTATTAAAGAGAGCGAAGCTTTAAGATCTGTAGTCCAGCAGTGTGGAGACAGATATCATGTGTTCAACAACAGAGATGTGAATAACAGAGAGCAGGTGGAGGATCTACTGCAGAAGATTGACTCAATGATACAGCAGAATGGAGGAGGACACTACAGTAATCAGATGTATGAAGATGCTCACAGATTCAGACAAGAGGAGGAAGAGAGGAAACAAAGAGAAGAAGAGGAGAGAAAACAACAAGAGGAGAAAAGAATACAAGAGGTGGTTGAGGCAAATTTTAAAGCTGAAAGAGAGACATGGGAAAAAGATAGCGCAGAATTTAAAAAGTTTTATGATCTGTTTAAGCTCTGGTTCACTCGTGCTGCAGCTTGTACTACTGCTGGAGTTGTTGCTGTTGGAGTTGGTGCTCTTGCTGGAACTGCGATTGCACCTGCTGCTGTTGCTGCTGGAGCTGGTGCAGTTGGAGCTACTGCTGTAGCTAGTGCTGTTAAAGCAGGTTTTTCTAGTACTGGTGCTGCTGGAGCTGCTGCTGCTACTGCTGCTGTTGCTGCTAGAGCTGTTGTTTCTGCACCTGTTGCTGCTGCTGCTGGAGCTGGCATAGGCGTAGCTGCTTTTGTTAAAAGTAATTGGAAAAAGGAACATAAAAAAAAACTGTAGTGGAACAAATAATTAGAGAACAGAAGAGTTCCAAGTGGGAGTAAATGAAAAATGTGATAAATAAAACATAAAGAGCACTGTGATATGGATGGCACATGGAGCAAACAGTAACAGAGCTGATTTGCCAATAGTTCGCATCATTAGCCTGAAAGAAAGTCATCTAGTTTAATGTGTTAAAGAATTCTTGGGAATGTTTTAACTGATGTGCTTATTATTATCTGATCTGAGTTTATTGATGAATTTTGTCTTAGCTACTTTACAGCAAAAGAAAAAAATAAATAAAAATAATATATATATATTAGCGCTGTCAAAATTAACGCGTTAACGCATGCGATTAATTTGAAATAATTAACGCGTTAAAAAAAATTAACGCAATTAACACAGTTTTTTTTTTTTTTATCCTGTTGTGGCCAGGGCAGACGCCCACAAGTTTCCCGCTGTTTAGACACACTTTTTGGGGTGGGCTGATCCCCCCCCCCCCCGCCGGAGAGCAGCAGCGGGGCACAGATCAATATATTCCTGTCTATTCTATCTAGTTACTTCTCTGTCCATATACATATACTTTTTTTTAAACTTTTAATCTGCACCACGGCCGCGGCAATTTCCTCCTGCTGCTTCCTGAACCTGCAAGTCTTTATTTTACAAATTATGAAGAATGTCTGATTCTCACGATCTATGAGGGGTCAGTCATGTATTTTAAGATGCACTCGGTCAGAAGACAAGCGCAGGAGATATCATGACAGTGTTTTTGATCATCAGCATGATGTAGGCTTATAGTGACAATAATATTTATACAATATGGTTAATATAATGATATTTATACATGATCAAACTAGTGTGCAACTTAAGCAACTTTTAGTTACTTTACTTAGTTTACATTTATTTTTGTAGTTCTGCCCAAACAAATATTTGTTGCATTTTTTAATTGTTTAAGTTCATTTGATTGACAATGTAAAAGCTGTTAGCTACGTTTGATGTTTCATTGTTGAGTTAAACATGTTTTTAAGGGTCTCTGACACATTGCTTTTATTATTTATCTTCATTTTATTAATCAACATTCACTGTGTGCGTCAGCAGGCAGTTTTTGTTATGTTCATTATTTTCTAGGCTCCCTCAAAACACACAGGCACCCACATTTCCAGTGTGGATTATAATTTTATTTTAATAATAAATAAATAAAAAATGTATTTTTTTTTTTAAATTTGTTAACTCTCGTTATTTCCTATATATGGCTTTTGTGCTTTTATAGAATGGGAGTTGGTAAACCTATTCAAGGGCATGCACAGATTTTCAAAACTTTATTATTATTATTATTATAATTTTCCATATCTGCAATGCCTGTATTTTGGCATTTTTTTGCAGTCCACTTAGAATCCAACAGATTAATCGCGATAAATTTTTTTTAGAAGTGCGATTAATTAGTAAATTTTTTTAATCGATTGACAGCACTTAATATATATATATATATATATATATATATATATATATATATATATATATATATATATATATATATATATATATATTGTTTCATCACTGAGGCCTTTTGAGCTGCTTTGTATTGTATGTAGTAAGTGCTTTTTAAATAGGCGGGACTTTTTTAAGTATGTTTTTAACCGGTCATTGTTATTATTTAGTGCAACAGTATATTTAAAATATACTGTTTTCTTTTTTATCTCATTACAAACAAAGCAGTAATAATTTTTAAAATGATAATTGTAGGTTTCTCAATTGTACTGTAATTGTTATTTCTTTCAGCCATTGATTTTTCTCACTTGTCTCTTGTTTCCTCAGTAATTTAAACTAAGCAGTAGCCAATGATGGTGTAAGAATATGTTTTATATACCTTTTCAATTTTTCCAGAGCTCAGGTACCTGACACCCCACAAAGAATGTCTACTTACTTTATAGAGTGTGTTGTGATATATACATTTTTCTTTTGATATTTTGTATAATTTTAAATGTCACTTCTATTATGGTAACTATTTTCTGTGGTTCTGGGTTTTGAACCTAATAAAATTTTGCCACATGCTATTCTTCTTGAATTCTTGAATCTTTGGAGCCTTATCTAAAATAAAATGACTGTAGCGTTTAAACATTGCATATTAGTATATTGTTAAATATTTTTTGTTGCTTTATCCAATTGTATGTTTATATTTTGACCGAGGAAAAAAAAAAAAGAGTCAATGAGCAATAGGTTATAAATGCGCAATACACAGCTTGGTCATATAAGCAGTGTTACAAGGCCTTTTTATAGAAATAAAATCAATTTAGTTTAGCCGCATATGTCACATAACCAGCAATCGCTCTCCAGAGATCGCTGGTTCTCACACTAACACCATGGACTACACTTCCGCCTTCTCTTAGACTACATATGCATACATGCTCTCCGGTCACATTCACGCCTGCTCATTCATCTAGCCTGATTACACTTGCATCACCTGAGGACTTTCAGAGACTGATTAAACACCCTTCATAAGCCACTCATTCACCCATCCAGTTTGCCGAGTCTTGTTTGCTTATAGTGACATTACAACGCGTTTCTCCCTGTTTTATTTATCTACGTGTTTAGACCCTAGCCTTGTATTCCTTGTTATCCTGTTTAGCCGCCTGCCTTACGACCTATTGCCTGTTTGTATGCTTACGATTCTGAACTGCCTGAATATACCCGTTTGCACCTGTTTGATCATTGCCTGCCTGACGTTGAATAAACCTGCATTCTGGATCTTACCTCCAGTTGTCTCCGTCACTCCCTCCCTGTCGTGGCAGCATGTATGTTTCAAGAAGCAGCCACAGAAGTTACAATGTGAAATGACTGACGACAGATCCAAAAGCGCAACAGAGCGATTGTCAATAAACATTTTATTCTTCGTTTAAAATAAATGAGTTGGTCTGTATTAGGGATGTGTGTTTGCACAAAATCCTGTAATCGATCATCATTTAACAATCTAATATTGATTAATTTTTAATCACCACTCCATCATAAACACAATAGATAACCTTTTGAACAATTTGATATATTCAAATAACAATCCACCCAGGCCTTTTCCATTAAGAGAATTAGTTATGGATGGCTTAGTCCTTAAAAAGGATCAGCTTACAAAATACGTAATTTACAGGTCTATGCTACTGACGAATAAGACAAACATGCAATCTATTAAGTATGATCCTTGCATAATGATCTGAGTAAAATAAGCTGTTACATCCTTTTAGATGTTAATATTAAACTAGGAGTAGATGACATAACATACATTAGTTTAATGTGTGTGACAAGCGGATGGAGAAATAAATAAACTGAAAACCAAATAATCACTGCAATTATTTATTGCAGGAAGTAGTTGAATGTGCTTAAATCAAAAAAATAAATGTAACAAAACTCAGTAACTGTTTTCACCAATCTAAACTAAATATGAAAAGAAAAGCATGAAAAGAAACATCTTCAACTTACAAAACGTCTTAACTAAACTGCTCTAACTAAAAACAAAACATACAGAAAACAGTACATTCTCCTGAACCTAGTGAACTAATACAAAATATCAATCTGAGTGTTGTATATGTATATCGCGCGACTTACTCACTCCTACACCTCTCCGAGGCATCACTCAAACATGTCAGTTAACTGGACAAGTTTACAAGCATTATTAAATCGCAAACTTTAGACAAGAGCATTAAACAAGCAAAACACATTCTCTCAGACTAGCCCTCGGAAGAGAGACTGTCCTCACAGAGACCCACAGAAAGAATAAGAGCGAGAAGTGGCGAGAAGGAAAGAGACAGAGAGAGAGAGAGAGATCGCCATTGCAGTTTGGGCTCGGCTTTTAAACGCTATGCCAACCAGCGATTGGTGGCGCAAACCCAGCGACAGCGTCCAACGTCATCAGCACGAAATGCGGATCCTCCAATGGCGTTCGTACCTGTAACACATGCATGAAACGACACACCCACATACAAACAAACACACACTTATCCAAAATACGTTCTGCAAGTGAACGTTACATAAGCTAAGTGTTTAATAGCATATTTTATATAGCTATAATTTAAAATCAAATTAATTTTTATTACAATCAAAAATATTATAGGCCCATAGACTACAGGCTAAATAAAGATACCTCGTCTGAGCTTTATATCACCTTCACAATCAAATCTGTAAAGAGCAGACTAGTCAGACGATAAATAAAAATAAAAAAAGGGTGCTTTGCTGTCAACATTGTAACTTTATATAAGAGCATTAGTTGCAATATTGATAGGATGTTGTTGTCAAGCTTATGTTTTCTTTTTAATATTAAGATATTTTCTTTGAAAACAAAGGCTGGTTATTTTACCGGCAATGGAGGACAATATAGGCCTATTGCAGATTTCAATGTTTGTAATATACATTTTCTGGCAGACACAAGTTAAACTAAATTTTGGCCAGTTTTACTTATGAAACACACTATCCCCTGAACTCGCTGTGAGAAAATGAAGTAAGTAAATGAGTAAATGAAAGCACATCAGGAGTAAAAATTAAATGCTCAAGACATAATGTGTAAAATAGTGACATATCAAACATGCAGAAAATATATGACAGAGGTTTGTGAGATATACAGTATAGCAGTATACCATTTATAAAATCCTTATTTTCCATGGAGTGAAGCACATCATCCATCTGCAGAGTTGTGTTCATTGTTTATTTGCAGAGTTGTGTTCATTGTTCATCTGCAAACACAAACTGACCAGGAAACATAGAAGCATTGCCCAGATATAGACACGTTAATGAACTTCAGCTGGCGAGCTAATCAAAACAGCTGAGTACCATCATGACACGTGACCATAACAAATACACATGGATGACCAAAACGAAACAAACCCACGTGACAACAGACACTCCGGAGGACGCACAAACCTGCAACCATGACAATGAAGGCAATGATCAAGAGACCAAATAAAGCAGTCACTGATTTAACTTATAGGGTTTGTTTATTTTTTTATGCTCTTGTTTTAGGCCTAATGTTACACCACAAC